AGAGTCATGAATGAAGGTTCATTCATTCAGAACCACCAACCACCTCCGAATACTAGTTGAAAAGTACTTTGAACAAGGTGATACGTGTGGAACACCCACACTCACTGGCAGCCAAAGAAATTTGAAGCAGATGAAAGATTCAAATCACAAACGCCTCAGCTGTTACTGGACGAACGAGAGAATGAGCTTACTTTATGAGTAAAGTTCCCAGGTCGATGCTGTGCCATCGACTTCATTCTGCCGTCCCGTACTTCGCCTCCTTATATCATGAGCCCCCAACCAACCAGACTCTGTGGTGCAACACCACTCCTGACTAGTAGTGGACTCTTCCCGTATGTATGAACAAGTCGGTGGCAGCTGAGGTGGCCAGCCTCGTCACTTCCCATCTTCCCTCTCCTGGTGATGATATACACGATTAAATAAAACTAAATTTGATTCATCCCATTTCTCCCATTCGTGCATCTCCCCGTTCGTCTCTTCTGTCACTCCACCTAGTATACTAGTAGTATTTGATGAGTGGCTCCGTACTCCGTACACACAACGATTAATCCATCCATCGTTAACAACCCTACTAATGGTGTGAGGCAAATTCCACCAGATCGACTGGAAACCAGCGCCGTTCTCAGTCTTTCTCTTTACTCTTTTTCTTTTTCTGTCTGGTCTTATCGCTCCCCCAACCTCGCCCTTGCTGAACAAACGAACCAACAGCGATGCCTTACTGGGCCACAGCCATGTTCTGGCACTGCCTTGCCGGCAATTGACTTGCAGCTCGGGTCCTCAGCTTTGTTCCGGGATTGGATGTGATGGCTACACAGGGCTCCCGGCTGATCTTGATCTACTTTAACACATCGGTGGCCTCTCTCTCTTCCCTTCCCCTCTCCTCTGTTTCTGATTTTTTTTGTCTCTTCCCTTGTCTGAAAATGGCTATGTGATCCATTCTTGGGCTGCTCCAGGCCAGCTGTCACACCACATGGGGGGTGGGTTGTCTTTTTAGGTCCTTACATGATGTGTCTTTATGCCATTGCAGCCTAGACTGGCCAAATACGTTGCCAACAACCCCAAAGCAAGTCATTCCAAGTCAAAGCAAATCACTGACAGCCGGATCGAAAATGCCGATCGTGAGGACCGATCATGAGAACGCGGATCATCCATCTAGGTAGCTTATTTGCTTTTTATCTATCTCCTCACTGTCCCTCTTCCAAGGCAAGACTTGTCACCTTTCGCCTCCCGTCCTGTGAGGGGGGGGTTTTGCCAGTGGATGGTAGATCCGACCCCTCTGATTGCTTCCATTCAGTTGAACCTGTACAGAGAGTTACATCCCTTCATCCCTCTCAATGACTAGATAGATAGATAGTACAACTGCAGCTGCTGCACACCCCAATCAAGGAGATGAAGTCAAATCGGGTGTAGATGGACAGATCTGAGGCGGGGCACCACAACCGGCTTCCCATCAAACGACTGTACTGTTACCAACTGGTCAGATGCCGACGCGACAAGCTGTCATCGGTAGAACAATGATGTCTTTTCTAGAGGCTACTTGGAGCACACAGTGGCCCGGCAGTCACGCCTCTGTGTAACCGGGAGGGTTACACTACAGGGTACTGTGTACGAGGGTATCTTCTGCAAAGGTGGGCATGGGCCAGGAATCCGGAGATACTGCCATGGTGGGGGGGTTAATCCGACAGATGCTTGATGAAGAGTTCAGGAGGTGACGGGCAAAGGAGGAAGGGCGTTGCGAGCCGTAATGTTAGTTAATGAGTCTTACATCTGAGTAAGACACGGAGTAAGACAATCAACTAGTTAGCTAGTTAGCTAGTGACACTTCCTGAAGGAGTAACTAACTCGTTAACGGGTTTTGAGGTCAGGAACCGAGCCAGTGATCCGTCTATTTAATCCGAGTACGAGACAGAGAGAGAGAGAGAGGCCATGGTGGTCAGCAGGTGACTACTTACTATTCCCGAGTCACTAACTCACTCACTCACTCACTCTTCATCTAATCACACATTCAAACCCCGAGTGAAGGAAGCTAACGAGGCTGACGGATGCGAATCTGGCGTGAAGAAAAGCAAAGCAGACCAATGATGGCAGGAAGAGGAATGCACCGGTCCAATGCATTGCTGATCGGAGATTCCACGATAATCTCAGGTCATTGGACCAAGCCATGTTCTAGTTGAGACTTTTAGCCCATGAGAAGGAAGGAATCCACCAATGCATGGATGGGCCCGGCGGGCACATTCTGCAACTTGTTCATCACTACTACTATCCCAGTAAGTCTGTTTACAGGCATATACTATATCTATCAGTATCAGAGGTAGCTGTCCTTGGGTTACTGGATGGCTGGACCGACATGTATGGAACCGGGAAATGACACTAGCAAAGAGAGTTTGGAACCAAGACGAGATTTCTGCATTGTTTTTCCATCCCGAAACTCCGCCGGGCGGCCAGCCCCCAAACTGCCACCAATGGATTACCCCGGCGCTGCTAACTGCTACTGACTGCTGCTACTGCTGTCTTCTGTCGCTCTCGGGGACTTTTTTTCTGGTCTTGATTTTTCGCCCATTCTTCTGCCCTTCAAGTGAGGGGAATCTGCATTGCGATAACGTGAGAGACACTGTCAGAGAGAATAAGAAGGAAGGGGGCAGAAAAGAAAATCAAAAAGAAAAAAGGGAAAAAAGGAAAATTGAAAAGCTATTGCTTTGCTGCTCACACCATCGTTTTATTATAAACTCCCGTTGAGCCTAGTCTCCTTCTTCATCGCCGCCTTCGTTTTCCCATCTTTTTTTTCCTCTCGTACTTTTCCTCGCTTTATTCTTTTTTTTTCCCACTTCCCCAAACCTCCGTTGCGGTCTCAATTCCCCAATTAATCTCAACCAGCAACATTTCAAGAGAGGAATATAGTTGCAGGTATAATTCCAAGGATTGAGAAAAGCTCTGCTTCGGGATTCCTCTTTCATCTTGCACCATCACCCATCAATCAATTCGCATCATGTCGGATCCTATCCAGGTTGCCGGGAAGAGAAAGCGTGCCAGTACGTTGTTCCCCCTCCCCAATTGCAATTTAAACCCGCGGTTCGCTCTTCAATCGCTCGCTGCTTTTCCCTGCGTTTCCCTGCTTTTCTCCCCCCAAAACTTCTCAGCCTTGCTGTCATCTCATGTACAGCCGGTGACAACCTCGTGCTATTCCCCGCCTGATTTTTCTTATCGCCAACGCGGGAGATCAACATTCCTTTTTTTCTCTCTTACTTTTTCTTCACGGCTGTCTTTCTTTGTCTTTAGCAAACTCATCATCCATTATCTGATGAGTTAATTCCCTGCATCGCTATTTTTTCTACGTTGTTTGTCACTTTCACAATCACCGTTTTTTCCCTATCCTGTCTCTGTGATACGTCCTGTCTGTCGCATCACCCAGTGTCCAGCTTCATCTCAGCTCTGCTTCACAATCTTCAACCGACCGCGTGGATTTGTCTTTTTTGCTATCACCATCAAAAATGGTTGCTGACTCGACTGAACCTGCAGGGACGCAATCCTGCCCGCCTCCCGAATTGCCCCAGCTCGTTGCGGAACAGCACACTCCCATCCCTGCTCATGACAAGGAGACCCAGCGTCTGATTGTCGTTCTCTCCCATGCCAGCTTGGAAACCTACCGGGCTTCCAGCGGACGCAATGGCTCCGGCCGTGATGAGAAGTACTCCCTGCTCAACAGCGATGAACACATTGGTGTCATGCGTAAGATGAACCGGGATATCAGTGAGGCTCGTCCGGATATCACACATCAGGTTAGTTGCTCTGTCTGAGATTGCGAGCAATGGCTTGGTGGCTTGTTGCTAATGATGAACGCCCGTTAGTGCCTGCTCACCCTGCTCGACTCCCCCGTGAACAAGGCGGGTAAGCTGCAGATCTTCATCCACACTGCCAAGGGTGTCTTGATCGAAGTGAACCCTAGCGTGCGCATTCCTCGTACCTTCAAGCGTTTCGCTGGTTTGATGGTGCAGCTGCTGCACCGCCTCTCCATCCGTTCCACCAACTCCCAGGAGAAGCTCCTGAAGGTCATCAAGAACCCCATCACCGACCACCTTCCCCCCAACTGCCGCAAGGTGACCCTCAGTTTCGAAGCCCCCGTGGTGCGCACTCGCGACTACATCGAATCGCTGGGCCCCAAGGAGAGCGTCTGTATCTTCGTGGGTGCCATGGCCAAGGGACACGATGACTTTGCCGACTCCTTCAAGGACGACACGATTTCCATTAGTAACTACAGCTTGAGTGCCAGTGTCGCATGCAGCAAGTTCTGCCATGCCGCCGAGGAGGTGTGGGACATTGTCTGAGCGCAGGACCTCGGACGCTCCTATCCCGCTTCTCAGGAATGGCCAAAGCTTGACGAGGTGACGAATTTCCTTGCGCCCATACATCTGAAATGGTACGATCGAGAAACGGTCAGCGGGTCCTAGCTCGGGGACAAACCTGTCTTCCGCGCGTTGTTCGCGTATTCTCTCTGCCTTGGGTGTATTTGCATCGCTTGCTGTTCTCTGCACGTCTTGATGGGTTTTAGTGTCTGTTTTCTTGCGCCTCGCGTCGCGGTCGCCGCTAGACTGCTGGATGCGATATCTGGAAACTAAGATCGCCTCATTTATTTGGACCCCGTGATGAACTGGCAGGCCCTCTTTGCTTCGGCGGGCCTGCGCCGGTGGGTAGGTGTCACGGCACGACCCACCGGCCCCCAGTTTCTTGTGATCGATCCCTCTGTTTTGAGTTCTGCAGGTTCGAATGCCTCGACGAGGATCTGGGTTTTTTTCTTCCAAATATCTAGGTGGGTGTGATCTAATCACTGTAATCTGCAACACCCCATCCGGGGTGTTGTACACTTGTTGCAGTCTCGCATGCGAGATCTTATCTATATAGCAGCACGAATACACCAGATACATTTACCATCGAGGCACAACCATGGACACGGAGGTCTGACACCCGCCGTTCAGCCCCTGCCCAGATACTCGATCCTACTTCCTCCCCCCCTTTGTCTTCCCTTACAGACTTTGATGATCCTAAATGGTCCTCTGATCGGATCACTAGTATCGAGTAGAATACCTGTCAGTAGTAGACCCAGCTGTAGATGCCCGTAGCCACAGGGAGAGGGGCTCCCTGGAGACCCGGAAATTCAGATGGAAGCTGGTGGCCCTTGCGCCGGTGACGTTCACTGTGTGATGGTGCCAATTAGCCAATTGGCCGGAGGACTCTAGCCGGTCGGACCATGAGGATTGTCGGAATCATCTGGAGGCACGAGAGTGACCGTAGAAGCAGGAAAGAAGCAGAACAAGTGGGAAACCCAGCGAACAGAAGGAGAGGGAGGGGCTGCACATGATGAGGAGGGGAAGGAGTGGGTTTGTGCCTGAGGCCGGCCCCGCCAGTGTCTCTCCCCGACTTTTTGACTCACTTTCCCTATTTCTCTCTTTCTCTGTCGATACTCCATACTTCTCATCCCTCTCTCCCTCGTCTTCCTTCTCTCTTCCTTCTCGGGTGAGAGACGGGAATTCTGACTATCGCTGACTCACACGTTTGAGCTCTTAGAATTTGTCAGGGAGTCTTTGTTCACTCCCAAAGTAGCACTAGCAACAGTATTGATGGGCAGGTCAATCGGGTGGTCCCGGTGGCTGGGGACGGAGTCTCCTGTTCGACGTGGCATGCAGCCATCGCAGCAAGTGGATCGCCCACTGGGTTCGAATGGATAACTCCGTACATGAAACCAATGGAGCATCTCAATCATCCATCTAGTCATTTGACGACGCTACAAACACCGATGATGCTGTTGGCTGATGAGCCATCCCATCCACTTCCGGCGAGAAACGGATATCACCGTATACCACCAAGTAACTCCATGATGACAGAATGATGGTGATATTCACCTCCTTTTCTTCGTCATTTTCCGGAAAGAATCTTGATTCTAGATGCTCCTATACGGAATATACCTTTCTTTTTGTCGTGCCGGGAGGGAATGATCCACGCCGCAGCATCGCCGGACTGGAGGAACATCTGGCGGTCAGATCGCACCGGCCGGCGACTAACAGCAGCAAATGTGCCCGAAGCAGGAACAAAACCCCCCCATCGGTCAAGCAGATTTGCCCCTCAGTGGCTCCCCTCCTTCTCTCCCTGCTATTATTCCTCAACACGGCTGCTTGCTGACATGCCCGTATGCGATTCGTTGTTCCCTCGTGATTGGCGACCTCCCCAAGGCGTTTGTCTGATGTCCAATCCTGGGCCCTAGCCGAGTGAGCCCGTCGTTACAATCAATGATTTAGGTTAGGTCAAGAAATCCAAGGGAATTTCCCCCCAATCCCTTCTTTGACGCCGGTCTACGCACCTGTCGCGGTTTCAGCGTCTGTTTTTCGTTTGGTAGCTGCCGTCTCCACCACTGCCAATCCCCTTCATCCACCTTGTCCTGGACCCTCTCGCCTCACTCAAATTCCCTTTTGGACAAGATGCTGCTGTCTACCCTTGGCTCCTGCGTAGTCCCCACCGTTTTCTGATAGGCGCCCCGTCCGCCGCGACAGGGCCACCTACAGCACCGTCCGCCAGTCTTTCCCCACGATGACCTGGCGGCCATCTTGAGTTTTCGTACCCCTCGATATTAGCTTCACCGAAAAAATAACATCATGGGTCGTCTGAGTATGTGTCAGAGTGGGTGGCGGCCTTGCGATAGCACCCTCCGAGCCTATCCCCTTTGGCAACTTCCTGCAGACTGAGCCTAGACGATGTTGATGCCTCGTGGATTATACTGGGCATCGTTCGGATGCCGTGCGAGTCTATGCAAGCCTGCCTGCGATAACCGGCCTAGTCTAGTCGTGCTCCACGGTTGGAACAACTGGTCGAGTTTCCATGATAATTTGCTCCCCCTGTAAGCTTCTGACCGCTCGTGATTGGATCCCAAGTTGGGCATTTCGGGGGCATACTCCTGAAGTCCTAAGGTTGGTCTGCATCTTGCCTTGAAATACTAGTGCTGCTTCTCGCCGGCTTCTCTCCATTCCTCTCATGATTTCATGGGTCTCTCCTATCTGTCTCTCCAGTCTTGGTGTATATATATCCTCCTATTCTCTTACTCGCTTCTGAGTCTGCAATCGACTTTTTGATCTCTCCTGTTGGTGGATCTCTCTCCATCTGAGATCTACTATTTATCCTGTCTCGCTGCTCCCCCTCCATACCTCTTTTTTCTTCCCCTGACTTCACCTCTTTATACCACGACTCGCAAAGGGATATACCCAGCGAGTCCACACAGACATGCCCGTCTCCCACCTCACCCTGACGGTTGCTCACCTGCCTACCTCCACATCTTTCTTTCTTTCCTGCCTACAACCTCTGGGGTACCAATTCATTGGACGTCACGATGACTACATTGGTTTCGGTCAAAAGACCGGTGAGCCCGCAGATTTCTGGATCACGGAACAAAAGCCTGGGTAAGTGTCCGTCAATGCTATTTAGTGGTGTTACGAGAACTAACTGTGACCTTGCAGCGTACCTGCAGGTGCCGCTCATGTCGCCTTTCCTGCAGCATCCAAGGATGCTGTGAGCACCTTCTTTATCAATGCCCTCAAGGCAGGAGGCAAGATCCATGGCGAGCCTAAGCAACGTGACTCCGACTCTGGTTACTACAGCGCCGCCGTCATCGACTTTGATGGCAACAGCATTGAGGCAGTATACCGCCCTAGCATCTCATCAGCCCGCTCAGAGGTCCGGTCCGTGGCCAAGTCCGTGGCCAAGTCGGAAGCCAGATCTGAAGCCAGGTCTGAGCTCACTAGGCCAGCCCTGGCTTTGCTCGAAAACGGCTCGGTTGTATCGAAGGCGACCAGCAAAGCCAGCTCCGTCCGTCCCGAGAGTGTTGCGCCTCCCAAGTCTGAAGCTCGCTCGTATGTTTCCAGGTCCTCGACGGCCGTGGACAGAGCGCCTCCCCCGTACGAGCGCGCGCCGTCCACCATCAGCGTTAGCCGTGAATCCCAGCAGCCTCGCGAGATGCAGCCAGCCCCGTCGCCCACGTATATTGTGCACCACACGACTCACACCACCACTCAGCAGAAGACTGACGATGGTAAGACGGCCAAGACCATTGTCGGTACCCTGATTGGCGCAGCGGCTGGCGCTGCACTCGCATATGCCATGACCAAATCCGACTCCTCCGAACAACATTCTGAGGGCAGTGCCCCTCCCCCGCAGTATTCGCCGCGGGACATTGTCCAGATGCTCTCTCCGTCCCAAGCACCCTCTCAAGCCCAGGAAGAATACCCTGGCTACAAGGCTATCGAGGCTCCTCCCCCGCGGAGCGTTTATTCTTCTCGGTCGGATGCCCGCCCGGGCCTCACCCGCAGTGTTACCTCGAAGAACCCTCGCGCAGACACCATCTACGAGGGCACGGAGTTTGTTCCACGCGGTGGCAGCGTCTACCTCGATGAGAATGGCCGTCGGGCCTCCGAGGGCAGCGTGTACACCACCAAGGATATCCCCCTGCGGGCGATCGAGTATGCCCCGCCGGCCGATTCCCGTGGCTACCAGAGCACCCTGGTCAGCAGCTTCCGTGAGGATAAGTCGCGGGCGATGGATGGTGGCAGTGTCTACTCATCCGCCACGGTTCGGCCTCCCTCCAAGGCCAACTACCAAGAGTCCCATCACAGCTCTCATCACTCCTCGCACCATTCCTACCACTCCGTGAGCCGATCGCAAGCCGGCAGCACCGCCTCTTCCAACCGCACTGCCCGCCAGGTTCCGCTCCCTGAGGGATCCATTGCCTCTTTCGCCTCCTACCGCAGCGGTGCCAAATCGGGCGTCTCCGCTCGTGAGGTTCCTCTTCCCGAGAGTGTCGTCGACCTCGACGTCCAGAGCCACGTCACCCCTGACGACTCGATCAGTCAAGTGGACGACTCCCGGCGGTCCTCCTACTCGCACCGGTCGCATGCTTCCAAGAGCCCTTCCAAGGTGTCGAAGCACTCCAAGTTCGACGAGCCCGTCAAGCCCAGCGACAGTGTCAGCCAAGTCTCTACCAACGTCTCCAGAGCGTCTCAGCGGACCATGAAGGCCGGTGGTAGTGGTGGTGGCGGCAGTGTCGCTCCGTCCAAGGCTGCCTCGAAAGTGAGTCGCCGAACTGCCAGCCAGGTGGCTTAGCTTCTGCACATTTTACATTCTTCTTTTCTCCTTGTTTGAACGCAGCTTCACATGGCTGTGATAATTACACCATCATATTTGCATTACAGACCTTGTATGTGAGGCACAACTGTTACTCTACTACACTTTTACATATTGGTTTGGGGAAAGCATGAAACCTGGCGTTTGATTTATATGTTATTCAATGGGTTGGTCGTGTTCTTCAGATATATTTCGTTGGCATTTATCTGCGACTATATACTATACTATACGTATTGCATAAGAATGTTTGAACTGCATTTTATATCTTATTCCTGCATGAGACGAAGGGGTTTGGTTGGGAGGGTGTGTCAAGGCGCAGAATTTATTTAAAAATACATAGACTTGACCAGACTATCGATCTACCTTCTACAGAAAATGACCATAACATACTCTAATTAATTTAGCAGTCATGTCCTGGTATAAGTTGATTACTCACAAGACGCTCTGACTCATGTAGATACTAGCACTCCATCTTGTAACAGAAACACTAAAATTAACACACAAGACTCATCAGTTTCAAGTAGCCGTAAATACAATAAGACTAGATCGAAGCCAAACCAAACCCTGTTTCAATAGTACATATAATAAATCGCAATCCTCCCTCCCCCTAAGACTATCCCCATCTAAACAGCATTCTACCTAGTAGTAGTATCAATCACTCTCTAACCCCCCGACATAAACACAATCTACTCCCTCCCCCATCCAAAACCTATACAAAAATTGATGAAAAAAAAATCACCTCAAAAACTCATGCCCCAACAACTCCCCCGCCGTGCTCCTCTCCTCCGGCATCCACTTCAACATATCGCTCATAAACCCCAGAAATACTTCTTTCTCCGTACCAGTCAAGCGCCTTTCCAATGACTCCAGAGATACATCCCCGGGGATAGGCGCTTCATCGGACGCAATCCAGGTACCTATACCCCGATCGTATTAGCATTATCCCTCCCACTCCAAACACAAAAATTGAAAGAGAAGGAGTATACTAACCCCTCTCATCAAAACACTGCGCCGTGGTCTCACTCCTACATACAAACTCCCCCGGTGGCGGTGATCCAATGACCGCTACCATGCGGGCTACATGGCGGAATGGATCGTGGTGGCCTGTCACTGGGTTGAATATGTCGTTTCCGAAGAGGTGTTCGCCTTCGAAGAGGGTCCATATCTATCATCATAGTATATTATCAATCATTAACCACCATACATTTATTTACAATCACTGAGAAGAAGAAGAAGAGAAAGGGATGAACTTACAACACCCGCCACCCCCCAAACATCAACAGCACACCCCTAATCCATCTCGAAGATGACCTCGGGCGCACGGTAAATAGTCGGTTGAATGAAGGGTCCTGAATCCCTCTGTACAGTGCCGATGCGCGCTTCGCTAAAGTCGCAGAGCGTGGGGAGGCCGTAGTTCTTGTTTCTTCCTTTGGGAGGGGGGAAGGGGCGAGATTTGTAGATGGTACGTGGGGGGTCTGATACCTTTCTAGGGCTTGGGGATGTGGATTCTGCGGCGGCGAAGGAGGGGAGGAGGGAAGTGTCGTGGAGGGTGAGGAGGATGTTGTCTGGTTTTAGATCTATATTTTATTTCATATAGTATATTAGTTAATAACTAGGTGATTTAGATATATATATATATAGATATAGATATATGGGGATAATAGAGGAAAGGTGATAATACCAGTATGAACCACCCCCGCCTCCACATGCAAAAAGTCCAACGCGAGTAAGATCCGCTTGATAGTCATTTTCAACAGCGGGAGATCGAACGGTCTAGAGGTTAGTTGTAGCATATCGTGAAGGGACATGGTCATGGGTTGGAGGAGGAGACATTGGTGTATACTACTCCCTTCTCCCTCGGATACTGCTGCATTCTGCAATTCAAAAGAATCATACACCTCGCGAATCAACGATTGCCCCGGATGTAAAGATCCCTTTTCAACTACGTTGGCGAGATGTTCATACACTTTGTACTCGCGGTTATGAGAGTCCTTCTTCGGTATTGAAGTGGAAATTTTGAGGACTTTGTATTCATTGTTTTCTTCTTCATCATTATTGTTGTTGGTGGATCTTGAGCATAGAATATGGTTGGTTATATGTATATCGTTAGAGATCTTATCTATTATATATGATGTAGGATAGGGATATTGCACACCGAAGGTCACGACACACCCAGCTCGTAGAAGTACTTCCGTAACCGAGTTTCCCTATGATTTGGTATCGGGACTGGTAGATGTCGCCTATGTTGACGGGGTAGTATTGCTTGGGGTTGTAGTAGGGGAGGGTTTCTTCTTCGATGGGGATGTCTTTGGGGAGATAGTGATGGGATGTATATGTTCTGATTGATGGGGGTATTCGATGGATGGGTTGGGTTCTTAGAGGTCTTAGGAGGGATGCCATTGGGGTTGATTTATTCTGTATTATATGGATACAGGTTCAGTTATGGTGGAATGGAAGGGGAATGAATCACTGATCAGCGCAGCTTATCCCTTATCAGCCTAAGGCACCAACGTGACTATTATAGATGATACATCAAATCTAGGCTGTCCGTATAGGCTTCAAGGCGAACTACACCGCCAGTTGAGTCTAACTACCATGTATCTACGGTATCTACACCTACACTGCTGATGGCACACGATCCACTGGTAATTGGTTCCTGCTAATGGTTCCTACTGATAGGTCCTACTGAAGAATACAAGCCACCAAATCCTTTACCAGCAGCATCGCCAATTAGCCAACCCTCACTTCCCTCATCTCCTCTCCTCATCCCCGGTTATCCATTTCCACCACCCAGAGGCTTCAGCCTCACGACCGTACCAGTACCCAGCATCCTCCCCTCAACCCCGACCCGAGGAATTATCGAAAACCACACCCTTCCTGGGGCCTTATGTTCATCAGGTAACATTTATCCGACTCCATTGAGTGAAAATAAAAAATGCCATGAATGCATAATGAAGAAGTGGTCATAATGATCGTTGGATATGACATTTCCCCCGCAAATAAAAAGGAGAAAGCGAAAATAAGGGGGTAAACGCGGAATTCCAGACACACGCAAATAGTTCACGGAGAATAACAAGGAAAGGATCTACGATCACGGTACGCCAGGCTTCGGATCTGATCTAACGGAGTGAAAGAAGACGCAGAAGCGGATTGGGAAGACCAAGGTGGCCGTGGAAATTGAATTGCGAAGATCAGATGGCATATTTGCGAGTCCATTCCCGCGCGGTCGCTTCGTACCGGGGACGGTCCGTCTTGTACACGTGAGCGATTTCCGGCACCAACGGGTCGTCGGGGTTGGGGTCTGTGAGCATGGAGCAGATCGAAAGTAGCACTGCAACAGTCAGTATATACGTAAACAGCGTCTGTAGGCAGAGAACATACCCTTCGAGATTGTGAGAGCAGGACTCCACTGGTCTCTGAGGATGTCAAGGCAGATGCTGCCGTTGGCATTAATGTTGGGGTGGTAGATCCGAGTGGTGAAGTTGACCTTCGGGGGCTTGAACGGGTAGTCGGTGGGGAAGTGGATGTTCAGGAAGAAAACACCTCCTGAGTAGGGGGAGTCACCCTGGAAGTCGGGTTAGCAAATGATACTCCAAGATAGCAAGGCTGAAGACGCCGGTGGGTGCCGCAAGGTCCTCCCGACAAAGGAACAAAGACACTTGCTACATCCGGACGTCACAGAAGAGATCCGGGTATACTCACAGGACCCATGATAGTTGCTTGCCAGTGGAACTGTGCAGCAAACCATTGTCAGTATTCATTTCAGGCATTATGTCGTTGATAAAGAGGTCTGAGGCAAAACTGCGTTGGATTGCCCCGCCGCAGTCGGCGAAAGCGGCAATGCGACCGTGTGCAACGAGGGGTCGGAGGGGTGAAACCATACCAGGTCATCTCCGGAAGGACCAGCAGAGCAAGAAGAGGGGGGATCACTGTAAAATGAAGACGACCACGTTAGCGCAGTTCTATACATGCCCTGGCAATGCGTGATGGCACAGGTGATGTCTGGCGGAGGGTAGACGAACGCCCCGCGGCTGTGGTGGGGTGTAACACCAGGCGGCGGCAAAGAGGCAGGCGAGGGGAACGAGATGATGAGGACAAGTCTTACCGGCCGAGGTCAGTGAGTTCCTTGTTAATTCTCTTGAGAGCCATGGCGAATGTGTGATGTGTAAAGAATGGAGAGGATCTCCTAGGTTAAAAGTGCAAAGCGAGTGGTATCGAATTTGAAGGTGGAAATCTGCACACGATTTCCCAGTCAGCACAACGGCGAGATATGTAAGAAGAGAAGAACAACGACAACGAACAGGGGCAAAGACGAAGACGACTAGCGAAGTCGACTAGACTGGAGGGGGAAGTTGAGAGGGGTTGAGGATGGAATGGAGGAAGAGACTCACCGTGGGCTGATTACGTCGGAAGACGAACAGGAAGAAGAGGGGGAATTGGGCTGAAGGAGAAGAGGAAGAGAGAGAGGAGAAGAGAAAGAAGAGGGAAAGTCAGTCAGTGGACGGGAAGAGCGAGAAAGGGAAAGGCGGGCAACCCAGCCCAGTCACCAGCCCCTCTGAACCCGTATTTACCGGTTATTACCGACTGATTACTCGGCTTATTTAATCGGGTTTACCTTAGTCAGGCGTCCGTCAGCCACTGTTGCGCCACACCCTCCCTCTCCTTCCATCGTCATTTCCCAATCCAGTCGGACATTCTAGATGCATCATTCTGCTTCTGCCGATTTTGCTCCTTCCTCTTCTTTCCAATAGTGATCATCCAATAGTTGGACACACAAAAATAGGCTATTCTTCCTTCTTATGAATAATCTAGATGATACCCGGTACTCCCCGTCATCACCAACATCGTCATCATTCCCAAGTCGGCCCTGACAATCCAAGATACCCACCTGAACAGCCCCTCTCTCCCTTCCATTGTCAGCCACAGCTTCAATTTCGGGTCCCTCCCAGACGGGTATCAATCGGACGGTGGACAAAACCGATAGGCTGAGTGGTTACCGGCAGTCCGCTCACTTTGTTACTGGTGGCCACCACCGTTGTTTGCCCAGTTGCAATGCTGGTTCTGCCCGTTGACTGGGTCAATATTATCAAGAATAATGGATCTCTTTTTTTTTTGCCTTTTTTTTTCTCTCTCTTGTAATATAACTCGTAATCTATCACTCACACCTACACACCTATTAGGCTATTACACTTGAATGACTAGTCTATCTACTATCTACTTGTGGGATAGTGACTACTTCAAGTGCATGCATACCGGGCAAGCATATGACTTCCTAAAAGATACTCCGATTTATATTAAGGTAGTATACCGATCCTGCACCACTCTTATTCTAGCACACACTATACTATACAACAATATAGATTCTCAGAATCTGTGGCACCCAACACCCCACAAAATGAATTAAATCTTCCATCAGATCCATTTCTTTCCCGGCGGCAGTGGCAACGGCAAGTTGCAAACTACCCTACTTACTTTGTAGTTACTACGTAGTCGCTTCAAAATCTTCTCTACTGCACATACTTTCCATCCCCACATCCATACTACACATGTGGTAGATAGATCATACACTCCCCTCTTCGGCAACAACCAACCAACCAACCAACCAACCCCCTCTTCCGTATTAAGTGAAACACATGTTTTATTCCTCTAAACTTTCTTCTTCCCGAAGTTGCACCAAACCTTGAAAACTCCTCCTAAGTTCTCTGTGTGGTCATACTTCCACCATCGATCCGGATCATTCATTGGGAGGCAAACCCGGATTCTTTCCCACTTAAGGATTATGACTAACTTTACCCAAGTAAGTAACTCTTCCTGTTTGTAATCATGTTACATACGGTGTGGCTTGCGGGTGCCCTTGCCACGTGGCGCAGCATGGGCTTAGGTTACTTCTTTTTTTCACGTGATTGGGAGGACCATTCATACCTACTAGTATTACTATGGTTCACACTGTTTGGAGTAAACATATGAGAGATAGTCTGTGGGTACGTAGTGCTTGGGTTATGGGGTATGGTTGGGGTTATTGTAGCCCCGTGTTTGGATATTTGTGGTTGTATATGTACATGCATGTGTGAGGGTTTCATCAGGTAGGTAGGTAGATGAACTGAGAGTTAGGGGTGGAAGTGTCTGCTCGTCTAGACGAATGCCTGGACGCCGGTGATGGCGCGGCCGAGGATCAGGGCTGGTTGGTGGTTAGTCGCCATATATACAGGAAAGTAGTACAAGGTGGTACTCACTATGAATGTCACTTTGCCCCTCGTAGGTCTGCACCACGAACAGGTTGGCTACATGCCGGGCGATATGGTACTCGTCACTCGTTGCGTTGCCGCCAAACACTTCTTGGAGACTGTAATAGGATGGATCAGCTTGCTTTCCTGCCAAAGGTTCTCAAGTGGAGGGCATACATTCTCGAGTTAGCCAGAGCACGGTCACAGTTCTGTCTCTTGACCATTGAAATCATCTCCGGTGTGCACTTTCCGGCATCCTTAAGCCGGGCAACCTGTGTCGCAGCCAGTGTGCCGTACGCAGCATCCGTAGCCGCATCAGCCAGCTTCTTCTGAATGAGCTGGTACTTCGCCAGCGGGTTACCCTTGAACTGCTTGCGCTCGAGCGCATAGGTGCGGGCACGGTTCAGGCAATCTTCAAGCGCACCCATAGCTCCAAAGGCAATGCCCAGACGGGCGCTGTTAAGGCAGGTGAAGGGACCAGCGAGCCCTTGAACCTCGGGGAACATGTTCTCCGCGGGAACAGGACAATCATCCATCTGGATCATACCAGTAATAGAAGCGCGTAGGGCAGTCTTGTTCTTGATGGCGGGCGTCTCCAGAGTACCCGGTGGGCATTGGCTGCGCTCGACGACGAATCCACGAATCTTGCCCGTGGTCTGCAGCTTAGCCCAGACGATCATGATGTCGGAAATAGGGGAGTTGGTGATCCAGGTCTTGGTGCCAGAGAGCAAGTAGTACCCCTTCTTGGTAGGGTGCTCCCGGGCGACTGTCTCCATGGAGCCAGGGTCAGAGCCGTGGTTGGGCTCAGTGAGACCAAAGCATCCAGCCAGTTTTCCCTTTGCCAGCTCCGGGAGAAGTCTGTCCTTCAGCTCCTGTGTACCGAAGTCATGAATAGCCGTCATAGCTAGAGAGCTCTGCACAGACATTCCTGAACGGTATCCCGAGTCCACACGCTCGACTTCCTTCGTAATTAGACCGGAGGCCACGGTACTTGCGCCGGCGCAACCATACCCTTCAATGTTTGCGCCAAGAAGACCGAGTTCGCCCATCTCGGTCAGAATCTGGCGGTCATAGTTCTCGTTCCGGTAGGCATCTAGTATGCGCGTACTTATTAGCCATGATCCACCACATGAGTATTTCCCTCATCGCCGTAAGGAGTGGCGGGCATACCTAGAACGCGGGGTAGCAGGCGTTCCTGGCAGTACTGCCTAGCTGTGTCTTGAATAGCCAATTCCTCCTCTGTGTACAACTCCGAAGCGACCAAAGGATCCTCCCAGTTGAAGGTCGTAGCGTATCCACGGACCGAAGCATTGCGCGAAGTTGCGGGTGCTCGACACAGGCGGTGGAGGTGGCGCGAAGCCCTGCGGAAGCTGGATGGGTTCATGATGTGAGATTGTAGGCGTAAGTAAGATTATGAATAAGTGAGATATATCTGTAACCAAGACAGTGTTAATTGGAGTGACCAAATGTCTTGGGATGCGACAGACAACTGGGGTTGCGACAGCCAAGGGATAGATGGTTCGGAGGTTGTTGCGGGGAGACATTCATCCAGGCACACTTTCGGTGTCTCGGTTCCCCCAACCTCGGCAATCCGTCGGGAAAGATTCATGCGAGCATTAGAACTTACACTAGGGGTCACGGTAGCAATATACCAAATTGATTGATATTTTACTGGATTATAAAACAGACTCCAGCAGTAGATATGCTCCTTATATGCTTCATGATCAGTGAACTTCCAACTTCCCAGCCGAGCCGCGGGGACACTCTTCCGCGGCCGAGCTCGGCTTGCAGGCCGTTCCGTCGGCGCTGGCGCCCAATAACCGGTCCTCCTCAGAACTTGTATAAATAGAGCCCAGGCGGATATCTCGTTTGTCCGGCATTTCGCTGTACGGATTGTCATGTAAAATAAGGACGGTAGTCTACGAGGAACAGCACTGTATACTCTACAATACTGTCCGCCGTCTAGTATTCATCATGAATCTGCAACGGTTGCGAGGCCAGCCTGCGAAGGCGATTACTAGAGGGGACAACCCACTCTTCTGGAATCAGCTGAATAGTTTGCTGTTTCTAAACCAGAGCCGACCGACTCGTTTCTGGATTGTATTTTGGATACTATATACACCATGGTAAACAACTGGTGCTTCGACTTGTATAGTCCTCAGTAAAGACTGACTCATAGCCCTACATTAGTACCACGGCAACACGCTGCGCTCCAAACGGTATGCTCAAGCAGGCATCTGGGACTGAAGGAAATCAAACACCCCGGTCGGGAAGTAATCCTCATCAAAACCCCAAAGATCCGCCATCATAGGGTCCACCGACCCTTCCGAGAGGCCCGTCTGGGCCTTCACCTGTGTCGCATCCGAGTCGAAGCTATTTCCTCTCTCAGCAGACAAGGGAGCGACTCCCAGCAATGGAGGAGGGGGGTTCAGTATCGTGTCCCGCTCTCCAAGGGGCTGAGCCCCGGGGATAACAACCGGTTTAAACATGGGCAGAGCATCATGAGAGTTGTGTGTCAGAGACTGGGAATTACCAAGATTCCTCTTCTCCCATTCCTCCAACCCCGTGAGCATCTTTTTCAAGCCACGGGCGATATGGTGGCTGAGATGGTGCTCGCTTGCACGCTTACTACATGAGACCATCATATTCACGATCCGCCCAACCAGCTCCCGCACGTATGCGACATCGATGTGTAGGCCGGCTGAGGAAATAGAATTTTGCTGGCCTTGGTTGTTTGGAATGCTGCTGGAGCAGCCCTTGGCTGCAATCTTCAGCAGGAAAACGGCGGCAAAAGTGATCATACTGTGGAGGTACAATGGGACGCCAACCAAAGCCCTCTGAATATCGGGTTCATCTAGGACCACCCGAAGCGTGTCTATGGCGGACTGTATGGCTATATTCGCGCGCTTCTTTCGCTCAGCAGACATGGGTCGTGTCGATATCGAAGAGTGATAGGT